GAAGCAACCAGTCATAAACAAACAAGTAGGCAGCATCCAGGAACTCAAACGCAGAGTATCAGTACAGGTGGAAGGTCCATCTGTTGTTCTCAGCATAAATCTAACCAAGCCGGACCACTGAAAGAGCGTGCTCATTAGGTTCAGGACTCAAACCCACCTGGGTCCATGTTGTTGCTATTGCCAGAGCCACACGCAGACCCTCTCTGAGCTCTGTCACGGCCCTTGAGCCGTACGGATAAGCAGAACGTGCATCAGAGCAGTAATGACAAATCCGAACGAATCCTTCAGAACGGACCTCTGGCTCTTACTGATCCCGCAGCGACTACCGACACTGGTACTGTAGCTTATCAAAACCAAGCCGTTTTGGGACATCCCCATTTTGGGAAAACATCCAAAGGCTTTGGGGATCTGCGGATTAGATTTGGCTTTGGCTAATGGTTTCCAAACAGATTTCGGCTGACACAATCACCTAGCAAACTGCAGAGACCAGAAAAGTTCAAGTTTCGTGTTCCAGTACAATCCTCCACAGATCAGATACAGAGCGCCTACATAAGCTGACATAAAGGCTTTCAGCAGCAGCATTTACTGCTGTAGTCTCGTCAGGATCCTGGTGGCCCTAACCAAGGATAAGAAAACGCTTGCTCCGATGGAGTCCCCAACCATTTACCTGCAGGTCAGCCCCCAGGGATCCCTTTTCGCTGTCCTTCCTTAAACTTTCAGCTTGCTCCTATGAACCCCCTAACCTTGAATGGAGGCAACCATAATCCTGCTAAGCAGTTTTGCTTGGATTGTTTGTAGATAAACACACGCTGAATCAGAACCAGGCACAAGGCCTCCTGGAGAATCTGAGAACCCAGATCATGGAGTCTGAAAACTAAGTGTACTTCAACCACATCTTTAAGAGTCACAAACAAATTCCAGTATAATGTACAATATACATACACTGCAGTTATTTGAGGCGGGGATGTATGCAGATGCCGGAGCAGTGCCAGAGGTAATTTATGAGGCCAATCATCATCTGGAGTCTCTGCTGAAGAAAATGTTGTTCCTGAATCTAAAATCCCCAGTAAATTGTGTGCTCCAAAATGGGAGCACAGAACTGAGACTCACTATCAGCGTCTTCTGATAAGTGATAAGACGACTTCCTAGGAACCACTGGCCACAAAGATAAACGTCTCAAGTGTATAAATGTTTTAGTTAGATCTTAGTAAGTTATTCACTGTGGAGTTCATCTCTGAAGGTAAGTGAATCTCTTCAGTTACCTGGAGATGCTAGGCCCGATACTGCAGACCCCAACCACTACATACGTACTTGCCATGCACTAAACATCCAGGAATGGGAAAGGAGGAGACTTCAAGACTAAAACACAAATTACTGCGCATATTCGAGGAAGATGATCGCTGAAGAAAAGGAAGACGAAACAAAGAGCAACACAGCAAGCGGTAAGGATACCTCTCCGCCTTTCAACTCTTCCTTCTTCAACTAGGAGAGATGTGATTTGATCTCCTTCCCACCCGCTCCTGGAAGAACACTTTGCAACGACTCCCACAGCACCACAGGGCACGTCTACACTAGCACTGCGGCTGGGATCAGGAGGGTGCTTCTGCAGAAGCTCCCCTCTGCCCCCACTCACTGCACTTCAGCAGGCGTCACGGAGAAGTCTCGGCGAACACGAACTGGATGAAACCAAAGACGAAGATGCATTTCAGGAGTGCACCTACTGCTCTCCAGATGTAAACAAACAGTAAATCCCCGGCACACCGGACTAGAGTTAGCGTGAAAAAAATCCTTCTGAACCACAGGGCATCAAGCCATCTCTAACTGTTTTCTAAAAAGCTGCTCTACCTTATCTGCACTACTTTGCTAAAGCAAACACGGCCACCGAACGCCATCTAGAACGGGCGCTTACAAAAACGGCCTGAAGAGGAAACAGGAAGGTAGCAGAAGAGCAGAGAGATCCGAGTAGCTTGGTATCAAACAACTTTTACTCATCGCAGCGAGCGCATGTTGCTTCAAGCTCAGCTTCTTCCTGCCAAACTCTTCCCAGATGCCAAGTAAACGGCTCAAGGAATGCAAAGAGGCAGCCAGGCGAGGTCCAACTAGACTCTTAACCCGGATGCCAAGACGGTTAACTTCCCAGAAAAGCCATGCCCTAAGAAAACTGAAATAGGCAGCAGATACCTGCAAACATCCACATTACAGTCGTCTCCTCTCAGGGGACTCTAATGACCGTGGTTGGTAGTGGAATTGGGATTGTTTCGCTGGGCAGACACAGCTTTTATTTTGAGAATTCCTCCACAGGAGCTACTAAAATAAAAAGGCTAAGTCAACAATCAGTAGGTGAACATACCCATTTTACACAAGTTTATCTCTCCTGAAGAAGAAAAAACAGACATATTTCCTTACTTGAAGGAAACGGGTCAGGAAAGTCAGATTTGTTTGACTGACAGGGAAAAGGGAAGGGGAGAACTCCAATCTATTCTTGAATTAAAAAGAGATAAAACAGTAAATTTGATCGAAACACTGCTAAATATGTAACATATTAAACCCCTACCCAAAGAAAGGGCTTTTTCGAAGCTTTTCTTCCTGCTTCACCCATACGATTTTCTTAACAGTTTTGGAAAGACTGCTCATAACAGCTTGGGTAATGAGCCTGAACTGCCTGTTGATGTCATCTCCTCCCCCCCCTTTTTTTAAAAATAAATTGTATTGAAGACATATGAATACTCCTATTTCTTTTTCACTGCAAAGGAGGCGTGCTGAACGCCAACCCTATATGTTAGGCGATTCGAGTATCGGAAGCGCAAAGACACCTTGAAACTATCATTTGTGTTTTGAATACGTGCTCCTATCTTTACTAGTGAAAAAGAGGAACAGGTAGAAACTAGACACCTTACTGTGAACCATTTTCAGTGGCCCCACGAGCACTGTGCTAGCTTCTCTCAAGGAACCTGTTGCAGGACCTTTGCAGATATCAACCCACGTTAAGAAGCGTCACGGCAAACACTTTATGCCAAGTCAGCAAGCAACGGTAACTGTGTGCCTTAATTTTCCCTCCTAGTTCCCACGCAGACTAATGCAGCTGTTAAACACTGACGAAAGTTTTGTAAAACTACAGTTATAACTGCGCCCTTTCCTAATCTGCTACAGCTAATTTGAAACCAGGGACTATTTTTGAATACACTTCTTTCCAGAGGGCATTACCTTGGACTTGTCTACACCGAGTCTGGTTTCCCATCATTCTGTCTCCATCCACTCTGCTCCTCTAGTCTTGACTAACTTTAGAAACTCTCTCATCATCAAGCTCTTGCATGGCAGTTCTCTTCTTCAGATCCCTAACAAACGAACACAGGTCTCAGTACAGATCTGCAGACGCTCAGTCCACAACTTCTTGTTTTGCAAAATTAAATAATTCCTTCTGAATCACCTCACTATGATAATTAACTATATTTAAAACTAAATAGTTTTTTTAAAAACCAAACAAACAACTGCACTACGTAGACCCCCCCCAGTTTTACTAACTCAGTCATGTAAGACTGCGGTCCCTCATGCCAAATGCCACAGGCACGGTTATGAGCTGCCGGAGTACAGGATGGACTCCGTTTACATTACAGTATAGCAATTTCAAACGCAGCACCAGTAAGTGCAATGATACCCCTAACTATGCTGGCACAGGACCTGTAGGCCTTTCGTTACCTTTTAGCACGTACTTCAGAAGATGGTGTCTCCTTTTGGCAACTCCCCTTTGCCACACATTCCCCGACAAATGCCATGGTCCATGGTCCCAGTCTGTCGGTCTCGTGAGGCCTAAGATCAGCAGAGGCTAACACCATTCTCCCATCACTGAGTTTTCTTGAGGCTCAGTACTGAGATTTCATAAAGATTTATTTAATCCCATTCTGTCTCTGACCTCAGCATAATTTTCTAAACAAGTAATTTTGTAAATTTTACAGAAAGTTTTCTGATTTCTCAACCTAAGATTTCTTTCACACAGGATTTCATCTTCTCCCCTGCACCTTTTCTAAAGGAATCCTAGACCTGATGCTGAACTGAAAATCCTGGAGCTCCCTGCTACACCAAACAGCAGCTGAAGCGCATGTCGTTTCTCATTGAAGCACCTGAGACCCGACCAGCAGGATGGGACAGGTGGCAGAAGTGAAATTCAGGTCCACTCTCTGGATTCTCTGGAGTGACTATCAAAGAGGCACAGTAGTCACAGTGAGTTTTAGAGTATGGCTATCCATATTGAGGCCCCATCCCTGGAGGTATTTAAAAGCCAGGCAGATGCGGTGCTTAGGGACATGGGTTAGTGGTGGGTTTGGCAGTGCTGGGTTAACGGTTGGACTTGATGATCTTAAGGGTCTTTTCCAACCTAAACGATTCTATGATTCTATCCATAAGACGCACTGACTCACTTCACACAAACTAGGTGCAGACACAACATTACACCGAGTTTGAAGACGCGATAGGGGAAGGCAGTAAGTTCTCTCTTCATCACCCTGAGCAGTTTGATTTGTAAGCCTGAGCTTTTATTCTGGTTATCCAAGAACACATTCAACCATCATACTGAAGCTGAACAACCACCAATGGGATGAGCTGTCCATCTGTAACAAGCTCACATGCACAGCTAAGGATGTTCTTGAGAAGATTACAAATTCTCAAATGCTAGATTCCGATCACCTCGCCTATACCTCAGCTTCCTGCAGTGGTCAATGGAAAAAACCCAAACCCCATTTGGGCAACCTTATATTCTGCTTTTGTGGGATTTCTTCGTGAGCTGTGATTGCTTCTGCCCTCCCTCTTTGACTATCCAGACAAGCTCAATGCTGGTCCCACTGGAAATATCTGGCTTCATGCACATTTTTTATTACAAAGACCTTCAATGTCCTACTTGGATTTTCCAGGAAGAAAAGTTTTTGTTTCAAACCAAAATAATTAAGAAGATACAAATAACAAAATGTCTGTCCCAGGAAACAGAAGTCCTTGCAACTCAGCAGTTGCTACTGAAATCCCACCAGTCGTCTTATTTCTTGATAGATGGGGGCAGCCAGTTCTTTGGCTTTCTCTGCTCCATCCTCCAAAACCTTTACCAGATGGGATGTGTCTTCCTGGAGTTTCTTGATTTCATTCCTGATAGGTGCAAATTTTTGAATAACTGACTCCGCTACCACCATTTTGTAGTGAGCAGTGTCGAGACCAGCAGCTTGGTGTAGCACTTCTTTGATGCTAAGCCCCGTCACTGCAGCATGAATGGACACCAGATTGGAGACACCAGGGCGACTGGCCGGGTCGTAGGTCACCTCAGAGGTAAAGTCAGTCACAGCTTTGCGGAATTTCAGCACTATTTCATCAGGGCTGTCCGCTATGTTAACGGTAGCTAACTTCTGCGGGTCTGACTTGGACATCTTCGCTGTTGGATCTCTGAGGGATTTTATTTTCTTTGTTGTACCTTAAAAAAAAAAGGGGGGGGGGGATAATTATGAACACACACAGACAACAGTTTCTTATGACAGTTTTCTTATGACAATTGCTAAGAACACTTTGTAGCAGCATGACGAAGTTCTCTGTTGATCCTTGCCTAAAAGTGAGTTGTGAGCGCAATTGCGTACGTTCCTATTTCGTCCTTATGGCCTCCCTGTCTTTCTAAGCCACTTTTCTCCTCCCATAACCTAAATGGAAACCTGCTCCGTTTGTCCCCTCCTCACTAAGCACAAACTTCTGCTGGGACACTTTCTAATATTTGCTGTGGCTACACGCTGATCTTCCCTGAAAACTCCCTCCTCCCTTGTATTGCTGGCACTGGGGACAAGTGACCTAGAGAGCATGGACTGCACATTACTGAGAGGTTCTGTAACAGTGGGGAAACAGGTTAAATCCACTGGCAAAAAAGAATCCCAGAACAGTTAATCTCCTTACTTTAGGAAAATCTTCCACCCACAATCTCTTGGTAATTCCCCTAAAGATCAATAAAGACAGCTCTTAGAAGTCCCCTAACTGAATGCTAACCAGCTCCATTAGAGGGAAAGCACTGTTCAGGTAAGAGAGCTGTGGGTATTGTACAAACTACGAAGATATAGGCATGTACACGGAACAGAATAGTAGCATTAGGGGAGTATTGCAAAGTACTTTCTTTAACAGCATAAACCCAACCAATTTCAGTCTTTCACTAAGAAACATGGAGTACACAAAGTACCACTGATCTAGAAAGTACTCACACCAATGGTATTTAGACACCTAATACAGCCAACTAAATTACCCGCCTACTCCTCACAGACGGCCCAGGTACTCAGTGAAAGGATAAGTGTTCTTCCAGGGCACAATTCAGACTGCCCCCGAAAGTGCTCTGTTCTGAACCACCTTTCGGAAGGGTCTCTCTCTTTTCTGTACGTTTGAAGGAGTCCAGGTAATCTAACTGCCTACAGCTCGTGAGCCTGAGTAGGTCCCCAACTCCTCCATTCGTCTAAGATATTTCATTGGTTTGCATATACTTGTGCACTTATGAAGGTATGCTTTTCATGAGGAAAGTTTAAATATTCTTTTTCTTTTTTTTTTTTTTCAAATTGAGCTCTTTATTTGCTGGGAAACAGTCTCGCCTGCATCATAGGCTATGCTCAGCTCCTCATTACAGTGCTTAGTATTTAATTGTTCATTAGAAACTACAGAGCTTGCAATACCTAGTATTCTCTGAGCTCCGCTCTGGGTCTAACACCATTTTTGTCACTGAGGCTTGAAAATTGAGAAAGGTTTATTACTGCCTGTCTTTTCTAAGGTGAGAGCTCCTTGCCCTTTTAGGGGCGAAGGTCTCTGCTGTGCATTCCTCTACATTACTTACAACAAAGATGCAATGCTTCTTCCTTGCCCAATTCTTCACGTTTCTTAACAAACATGCCATTTGCGCCATCTGACTCCTCCTCACCCCCCGGCCTATGACCTTATAGCTCAAAAATGGCTGAGAAGATTTTCCTCATAAGTCTCCCTGAGTCTAAGACCAAAACCAGAACGTCTAAACTCTGTAAGAGACCCTTACTGAAATACACAATTATATATTAAACACACTTAACAGATTTTTGAGCGTTGTAGCAATAAACCTATAAGCTGTTTAGCATGCTTCATGTAAACATCTACCAGTCAGACACTGAAGAATTCTGCTTGCTAGAGGTGTCTTGTCTTCTTCCTTACACGTCTCCTGAGCTAGCAGCATGGAGCAGAGACCCTGCTCCTAAAAGCTCCAGACTTGAAGAGCAGGGCTGACTGGCAGCAGCAGAGAGCATCTGGCCCCCTGGACTAGAATACCAGACGTCGCATACATTCCTCTACCGGGGATTTGTAAAGCCCTATGTCTATCTTGGGAGTTCAATTTCACAGCCTCTAGTCTCTTGTTGTCAGTTTTTAATTTTCCACTCCCTTAGCATCAGTTTGCTCCCTTTTCTTGGTCCCCGAAACCATTTCCACAATATTTAAATCCATCTTCAACCTTGAAGTGCAGTTAAGGGGAAGAAAAAAAACCAAACCAAGACCAGCTCACTTAAAATGGCTTTGGGCACAGGAAAGAATTCTCCGTATTTCTTGTTGAACTGTTGTGCTATATCTTGGGCCAGTTCCAGGTGCAGGACTTGATCTTCTCCAACGGGAACATGTGTCGACCTTTTAATAAAAGACAGATACAGGAAACTCAGCAAACCTCTCTGGTTCTGCCGAAATGTTACTCAAGACCGTCACAGCTTCTGCCACGACTGAGGGCCAGACTGAGCCAAACGCTCAGCCCCAGCCAGCCAGAGGTGCTGTGGGAACGAGATCCCAAAGTGACCGCAGCCCGGGAAGAGTCTGCTTTTTGTGCCGAACTGAAGCACATCTCCAAGGGCAAAAACAGCCCTTCACGAAAAACATACACAGTAAGGATACCAATAAGAGCAAATCATTAAACTCAGCTCAAAGAAAGGTTTTTGTAGTATCTCCTGCTGTCTCTTTAGAGATCAAAGAGCACGTGTTGCAGTGTGCGAACAAAGTAAGATCTGCAAGGCATAAAGCGCAAGCACCTTGCCTTGTCAAGTCTCAGGAAAACATAACTGTTGTTGAGAAGTTAGTCCTGTGGATTCATCAAGGGAAGGAAAGAGGAGAGTGGTTCTTCCTCATGGGTCACCATTATATAAATATCACGTGGGCCAGTGCCTCTGCTGCCACAAGTGTTATCATTCATAGATTAGAACTGGTAGGATCAAAGGATCATTTGATCTTCTGTATTGAACTCAATAGCTTGAAGGCAGTTCTGGAGGAAAACACAATCTGCATCAGAGGACATGAGGAGGTGAAGAATCCATTACTTCCCCTGGTGATTCTTTCCCACATTTAATTATACTCACTAAAAATGTATGGTTCTTTTAGATGAGGCAGACTTGAAGCTTTGCCAGCTTCTGGTTACTCTCCCCTCCCCCAGCAGATTTTTTTTTTTCCTAAGGCTTGTGGGGTATTCCGCTCTGAATCCTGGATATGTTCCAGTCTAAGAAAGTTCACTATGCATCTTTTAAGTTCCCAGAAAATTTCAGTTCAACATGGTACTCCTTCCTTCCGATTCTGAATTACTGGGCTGGCATCCAGGAATCAATTTGTCCACCTTTATTCCCCACCTAACAGTCAGTAAGGCAACCTAAAAACAGTTACAGTAGCCAATAGGAAATCACAGTGGCCTACAACTAGCAGAAAGAAAATCAGTTACCATAATCAATATACTTTAAGTAGGTCAAAAGAAATGTTTCCATATGTCAAAATGGTTCCATATTCACAAGGTTTGCCACTAAACAGAAAACATATTGTCTTTATAAATGCCTCTGCATGATTCTTTGCCTTTGTCCTTGCTGCTTTTTTTAATATTTCTGTCCTGGTGCTATTTTTATTCCGTTCTGTCATATATTTACCTTCTATCCATTTTCCTGTCTCTTTGATCCTTGGTTCATCTGAATTAGTACTGTTTCGCCCCCTCCTCCAGCTCTTAATTCTTCTTCACAACTGCTGTTCCCTTTCTGTGCTTCCATTTCTCCCTGATTCTTGTTCCCTATATTATGTTTTACATTAAAACATTTCTTATTAAAGACATTATGTCAAATTTCTTCAAAGAGATATTGTTTCTCCTTCACTTCCTTGTTTTGTGCTCTGTCTGGACGGCCTGCTGTTAATACACATGGTAGCAAACAAACCGCAGGCTTCGCTAAGGAATGATGAATCACGTGATCTTAGTAGAAATGGAAGAGAGACACACGGTTGAGCTCAACCAAAACAAGGCGATTTCTGATAAAGTTGTCTAATTTCACCCTTAAACACTACTTGACAATCAAATGGGACTCACTGCTTACAAGATTATTTTAATGTTCAAATTCATTCTGATTTGTGCTTCCCATTATTTTCAGGTAAAATTCAAGTGAATTAGAAATATCATCTACTGGTCTTCTAACATTACTGTTTTCCCTTACTAATGGTCACTTTAGGATTTAATTTCTCTAGATAGATTCTTCTGGGTTAACAACTTGCTGATCTTGGTTACTCTGTCCTCCTGAAGTCCCTGCCCTCTTAGTTCTGTATTACTTCTCTGTCCCAACAAATATTCACAACTTCAGAACAATTCCACAAAGTACCTATGCTCAGAACAAAAATAAATTAATACACAGTGCATTGTCTCTGGCATTTACTTATTGCGACAGTTTAAAACATATTACGAAATACAACCAGTCACAACAACGCGCTACAAGTTCTATCAGCTAGGCTACAAACGTGGGCATGTGGAGTCACCGGTCCCTCATTAGGGTGTATTTCCATGGCAGCATGTAGTACACCACAGAAAACCAAACTAGCCCCGGTACCACAAGGTGCAGTAAATTACTCACTTCATCAGTATCAACAGTCCTACACAGACCTCACACTACTCTGGGTACGCTACATACAGCCAGCTTAAGTGTCTCTGCAGTACACTGCATAAAATAAAGCATAATTCCTTAAAAAAATATATGTATATGTATGTGTGTGAATATGTAATATGTATAATTAAACATCAAGGTGTTATAATTCCCTAAGAATTGTTCTGAAGTGACCAGCTTTTTCTCTTTCCAGCCCTGTCAGTTGCTTTCAAGCCAGGCTAGATTTCAACCAGCCGCTTGAAAGGTAAAAAAGCTGTCATCCATTTCCAATCTTCTGATCTAATCACACCCAGCTCCCCCACGTAATAAGGTAGCATGTTGACCTGACGAACATTCATTCTAATGCAGCTGAACAGACATTGCCCATGGGCTCACGTTCTGCCTCTTACTTGTACAGCAAAATATCTGCTGCTTGAAGCACAGGGTAAGTCAACAAACCAACGGTTCCTTCATTATTCTGGCTGGTACGCTTCATCTGTTAGCAAAAGAAAAACAGAGAGAAATCACCCTTTTGGCTAATGGTACCAAAGTCCGTGATTTTAATTAATTAGAATTCCGACTAATTCGAGTAACTTACTGTGTAACTCTAGAGAAAAGCGTGCCATGTAAAATCCACTCCTTGTGAATACACACATATATTGTAGTGAGGAGAAGACATAGGCTTGTGTTTTCTTTCTGTTTGTAACCTTACTAATGAAAACGATTATAAAGACAAAACAATCGGGCTGGGTTATTACACTCATTATTGATAACCCCTACGTTTTTAAATAGCATTTTCAGCAGTAAATTTTTGAAACGCTTTACAATAAGATAGAAAAAGGCATTAATACCCGTGTTTCACAGAAAAGAGATCAAGACCTAGTGATCACACACAGTCACCGGGAGAGTCGGTGACAGCCAGGAGGAGAACCCAGAACTACAGAGGCAGAGTCCCCTGCTCTCTCCATTAGTTCACGCTGCTCCCAACAATCCACCCGCTGGCCTGAAATCCTTCACCGCTCTAGGATACGGATCATTTACACCAAGACAGTCAGGCTACAGATACTCATTCTGTTCTAGCAATGGCATATCTACTTTTTGCTTTTAACAATAGTTAAATACACTAAAATCCTTAAAATCTTAATTATTTCATTAAGACTATTCAAGTAGCTTTAGATTTTTCTCACCATCTCACACAGATCTTGTCTTCTGTCTACATCTCTAGGTGCCTGGGGTTCAGGGGACCTAATTTGCAAAGCCTAGCACCTGTAACACCTATCTGTAGATCTGGAAAGTCAATCCAGTCAAGGTTGCATTTAAGAGCTTAACTTTAGAACCTCAGGTTTGAAGAAGTTGGCTTTAATCTATGCCATGCATTAACACTGCTTGCTGTATTTAAGTTTTACTGTTTTTATTTAATTAAGAAGAAAAACAGGAAAAAAGAAAACATCTGGAGGTATTTAAGACTGCTCTGAACTCTGCAAGCCAAACTGCTCTTAAGATTTTTTTTTTCCCTTTTCTGATACTTCTCTCTCCTGCCTTTCGTTTTTTCTGCTTATTGAATGCCAAAATACAATACAAGGAAATTAAAGGCAAGAATTCAGCTGATGCAGTACCAAGAATTAAGAAGATGAACACTTGAAACTTGTAAAAGCAAACATTTAAGGTGCACTAACTTTATCACTCAGCACATTTTTAATATTTATAATTTCTATACTCCTCTTTCAACATATGTTTCTTTTGCACCCTCTTCCATAAAATCTACAGAACAGCCACTCTTCAGGGTGGAAAAAGAAAAGCTGTTTATGGAACTCCTTAATCAGCAAGGCTCAAGGTTTCCACTGCAATATCTTATAGTTGTTGCGCATTATTAAATAAGCATTGAAATAACTCCAAGCATTCTAGCAAAATCAGTTTAACAACACTAAACAACCCTCCTACTTAATACAGCTTCTGCAAGTTTCTCCCAAAAATATTATCCTGTAGCTTCCAGCAGAAAAACACTCGCTGAAAGCAACAGACCTGGAAAGACACGTTTTCCTCCTTCCACCAAAGGACTAGGGAATTACTTAAACCTAAAGCAAGAATAACCAAGGTACAGTTGGTACTTCATAGATAACAAGTATTTCAAGGACAGCAGTTCTATTGAATTCCCATACATTTCCTTTCAACTTATGAAACCGTCCATACCTTCCACTGGGGCAAGCGCAGCAGACGTGGCACGTTAGTCAAGCACCCAAGAATCCAAGCAAGTTCTGTGTGCTCAGGAACCTGGAAGTACAAAGTCAGAACCTATTTTAATCTTCGGCATTTATATGCCTATTTTCTCAAATCCATACAGATAAACAGTATCAGAGATCAGAAAACCATTTGTTTTTGTCTATTATTTTTTCAGGAAGGTCAAGCCACAAGCTAATGGAAAGTTTTGGGCACCGCAGGGATTGAATGCACTACACTCAAGCAGCACAGCAAGATTCTTGATCCTATCCACTCATGTTCTAAAAAAAGAGAGAAAACGCTTGAGTGATAGCAGAGTTGAACACACGTGTAAACTAACCAACTGCTGGCCGCTGTGCCACAGCCTCCCCACGCTTTGAGATAACACCCAAATAGTTACGAAACCTCTTTGCCTTTCTCATTTCCAGTGCCACTAAGTTACCCAAGCTTCATTTCTTCTGCATCAGGGCCCTGAATGCACTCATTTCCCTGAACCATCCTCACCAGCCCCACCTGGGCCCTCCACCCATGGCCCCAGGAGCCCCATTTAAGCTCAGGCCAGACTGCCCCTAGTCCTTGCCTGAGCTGCCTTGCGGCACGTCTGGCAGGCCCTTCGCCGGAGCCTGAGCTAACGGCCGGGGAACAAGAAGAGGCGGGCTGCAGGTACGCTGTGAGGAAGCTCCGGTGAAGACTGGGGGCCTGAGCTTCAGGGGAGCTCCTGGGGCACTGGGCAGAAGGGGCACGGGTGGAGGGTCCAGGTGAGGCTCCTCAGGGCTTTGGGGGCACCGACAGGTCTCAATGACCCTGACCTGCCTGCAAAACAGGGATAATAGCTGAAGTCAAACTGCAGTACAGCCTGAATTGTGGCTTAATTTGTCCCTCAGTTCTGCAATCCTATCAAAACTAATACTGATCTGCAGGTGGAAGAGAAGGATCAGGCCTCCACATACCCTTTGCTACAAGGGTGGTTTGAAAAGATGGGAGAGGAAAGAAGATCCCATTTAAGCTCATACAACAAACTCTTCGTTTAACATTCTGGGGAGACTGCGGTGATAGTGGAATTTTAATAGTTTCAGAAGGACATCAGAGTGATTGCCCCCCTCCTGCTAAGAAGATGACTTTGTACAGGCAGAGACAAGAAATGTGCCGTGCAACCACCTCTGCCGGGTGAATCCATGTTTAGCTTCTTTATACACACTCTTCAGCTTTTGCATTTCAAATATTCATTTTAGGATTAGTAAAAGTGGCAAGCATTGCTGATGCATACGCTGTTCTTTAATTTCTCCCCTGTCATTTTGTCTGTTGTTAGTTAGCTATATATACGATAATCATCAAAAGAAAAAGGTGATCTATGTTCTTCTTCTTTGCTTACATGTCTGATTCACTCTTTTCAATCCTGGCAGGTTTGAATGTTTAAGAGCATGCTGACCATCTCAAAGAGGTTCAAAGCTTCATGCTTGCAACATGATATAACCACCCAGATGGAAGGCAGTAAAAAGTGTTTGTTAACAAGTAAGAATTACTAGCATTGTTAATGGCAATTCCTTTGTTGTCACATTTTAAAAGTAGTAATTTCCTAGCTAACAGTCATTAGACTATTTGGTTGCCAACGTTGTATAGAGGTATCCGACCTCAAGACAACAGCTCAGCGGTTAGATATGAAATATCCCAGGTTGAGTCTCTTTCCGCCTTTCCCACAGGATTTTTTTTTTTCTTTTAATTTCCTCATGCTTACTTGACCCGCAATCTTCTGCGCACAAGGCGAAGTGCAGCAAGATGCACCAAACGTACCTTCTGCGAGACACGAAGAGTGAACTGAACTTTATAGAAAATGCTAAGCTGAAGAGCCCCATTTCATTTAGAAGGAATCACCATCTGGTTCAAAGTGGTTTCTCATTCCTTTCTTCTAGTCACGGACAGAGAGGAGATGGTGCTCTGTTGCACTTGTGTTGACAAGGACTCCCTTTAAAAGCTATGCAGTCATTGATCCAGCTCTGTCAGAGACTGCTTCCACAGCCCAGACTGCATCAGTGGCGCTGACATTACATCAGTTACCAAAACACCGAGTGGTCTAAACAGCGTTTGTTGAGTTGAGTCCGCAGTTCTGGGGTCCTAGCAAATTATACTCACTTCTAATCCTCAAACACACACAGTTCTTTCCTAAGTAAGGCTAGAGTGCTGAATTCTGTGAAGAAAAAGCCTGATAAAAGGGGGAGAAAATATAAAAAACTGCACAGAAGGGTAGAGATTTCAGCTGGAAAAAAATTCAGTACTGGAGCCTAATGAGTTAACATTCATCACCCAAATTGCAGTAACTGACTGTATGTTGGTCTGCGAATCAGGAGGTACTAGGCTTAAACCACAAATCATTTGTCAGACTAAATCATGGTTTAAGCTACTGTGTTTTACTTGGCAAGAGGGGCAGGTAATTGCTGCATTTGGTCGGTCACCCTGCATCAGCTCAAATGTGGTTACTCATTAAGCTACAGTACTCCATCACTTTGATTGGATAACTTTGGATACAAAGAAACTGGAAGAAGTAAAGATGTATATGATACCAGTAAAATAAAGGCCCAGTCTACTCCTCCTTTCTGGCACTGAGCAATACCAATGGGTCACAACTAGGAGAAGCCATTCTCTCAGACAAACTCAGCCAGCCTCTTGCCCCGAGTCCATTTAAAATTCTGAGCAAATGCCTTCATTAAACAACCAAACCATAAGAACGCAAGAAGTAATATTGTACTGGATCACAACAGGGGTAGCTGTAGCCTAGCGCTCCGTTTCCAGGAGCGGCAACAAGAGACGGCACTTCGGGCGAGCACATGAGCCTATCGCTTCCTACAGTCTCTCCCCCCCATATTTCTCCAGCGTCCATAGTTGTTGTAGCAGGGAATATCGGAAGGTATTATCCCTGGCCCAGTCCTGTGGGTATCCACGTTCCCCACGAATGCCCCATATCCCTTTCTGAACCTGCTGACACCGCCCACTTCACAGCCACACACACCAACAAGCTCCGGAGGTTCAAACCTGATGTGGAAAGAAGTATTTTCATTTATCCACTGAACGTTTTGAATAACACCCATTTCTTGTATTGCACAATTTGGTGAACAATTCCGTTTATCCCGTGCTTTTCTGATTTTGTAAACTTCGATTGCATCTATACCTCAGCCTTCTCCTCTTCGAATTGAAGCATCCCAGACTTCTAAATTTCTCCTTTTAAGGCAGCTACTGGATCCCCTGTAGCATTAATTTCCCTTCTTTGTATCATCTCTAATTCACTGCTTCCTTCTTGAGATGCAAACACTAAAGCTCTACCCAATATTCAAGATATGGGCAGACTAAGGTTTTGTATAGCGACAAAACATCACCTCTCTTGTTCTCGAGACCCTTCCTGGGATGTGGTGATGATGACATATTGTTGGCTTCTTTGAAAATTACTTGTGCTGAGCCAATGATTTCAGAGAACTGTCAACGATGACTCCAAGACTTTTTTCCTGCGTTGTGACTCAGCTCAATACTGCCTAAAGAAGGTTTAGATTACTTTTACTTCGATGCTTTATTTTGCATTTAAAGCTCTTCTACCACTAATTTCCTTACCCACGCTGTTTTACAAGTCCTTTTGGAATTCCTTTCCTTGGCATAGCATTTAACTATCCGGAGGAACTTAGCATTGCCCACAAACTTCTGTTCGCTACCTTCTTCAGGTCATGAACGACGATGTTGACCAGAATTGCTCCCAGCACGAATCCCTGAGGGACATGACTACTGACTGTGCCATTCAAAAAAAAGCGATCCCTATACCCTGTTTGGCTCTCAACAATAGCCAGCTGCAAGACTGGTAATGAACATTTCCTCCCATACTTTTTTTTTTTAAAAAACTAAGAATTGATATAGAACCTTGTCAAAGGCTTTTTAAAAAAATCAAATCCATTATGTTCCTGGGATGCCCTTTATCCACATGCTTACTGACGCCCCCACGGAGTCCCGCAGCTTAGTGAAACAGGATTCCCCTTTCAAGAAACCATAGCGACTCTCCGGCGAGACTGTTTGCTCACGCACTCGCTGCCCTATTCTTTGTTGAAGACTCTGCCATCCCTGGTAAGGTGAAAGTCAAAATCATCAGTTTGTAAATTCCGGGGTCCCCTTTAGAGCTCTGCTTCCGTACTGCCAACATGGCCTCGACCTACTGTTCCTCTGGCAGAGCGACCACTCATGGTGGCAGGCTGTTCACCCTGGCCACCAGCTCTGCCATTTCACAGCTGAGGGTTTTTCAGACTCCCAGCTGAATGCCATCTGGTGCCTAAACTATCTTTACCTAATAGCTTCTGTAAATCTACAATAAACTGACTTAGCTCTTCTGATCTGCTGCTACAAAATGCATCAAGTGGCAACCTTCCCAATGCCTTCGGCACCAGAGTCCAAGAGTGAAAACGGAGCCTTGCTCTTAGGGCCTATCAACCCGGAGCGTCTCCTGTACTTCGTACTCATCGATCTCCTAAATGACCTCCTGGTTTTGATGCAAGACCACTTAGTCAAGAATCCTCTGCAGGGTGCTCCTCAAATTCTTTTTTAGCCCCTTTAATTTTTTGTTTAAAAAAAAGGAACTTGCCAATTTTATATGCTTTCTTGTTTTTCTAATTTGGACAAGTATTCCCTTCTGAAAATCTAATCTTTTCCTATGATTGCATCCTAACTTACGGAACCACGGAAAGGGATTTGCTGGACCAACGTTTCTTCATGAGCAGTGCCACACATTTAACTGTTGGTTTTGTTGTGTTTTGGTTTTGTTTTTTAAATACATTTGGTGTTTTAAAACACAACCTCCAGGATAGTTGTAGCTTTCTTGCTTTTTGTTTATTTATTTCTGACTATTGGACTTTGTTTTCACCTAGCTCCCTTTCTCCAAACAGAACACTCACACACTTTATTTGGTCAGCTCTCTCCAGCCACAACGCTGAACACTGCTATGATGAGGTGGTTACTACTCAGAGCCCTCCCCTAAAACATCCCGACCTAGGTCCTGCGCACCACCCAAAAGCAAATGTAGAATGGCA